TGTGTTTGGTGCGTGTTTTTTTAGCGGGGGGGGGGGGGGGGGGGGTACTATATTACATGCAGTTGAAATTACTTGTACAATGGTTTTATGCTTCAATGCTTTTTTATGAACATTAAGATCTCTCTGTGGCATCTAGAGGGTCAGTGTACTGCAACAATTGGCAAAGAAAACGCAACTCGGTGCAGAAAGCAATATGTGGGCATTACTCCATTTAAGTAAGTCCTCAGGCTGATCAGGAAATGTGCCCCAGTTTCTCTTGGATGTGACAAGCAATGGGAACACAGCCATTGTGGAGTGGAGAGCTCCACTTCCAAGCTGCAATATACACTACACTGATTAAAAAACTGTCATCCTCCTGGAGATTCAATAACTGGCTGCATGGGGAATAGGTTATTCAAGTGTGCATCCAGGTGTAGTGGCAGTTGAATACAGTTAGGCACTTCCAGCACTGGTCATCAATCTACTTTAATAGCAGGGTTTAAAGGCATACATTTGAAGTATAATTTCCTGTAGTCAAAGCCTTGAACTTAATGTGTTGTTGTTTAAATAATCAAGCTGTTCAACTATTATAAAAGAGTGTCACTCTTTCATAACAGTTCAGTGCTACTCTACTTCTTCCAAAATCTTGCTTGACCCATCTGTTTTTCATTCAGGCTAAAGCTGTATTGATTTCACCAACTCTTTTTGTGGCTGTTGCACCAAAACCACAAAGAACACAAGATGTGCAAGAACAGACAACTGCCATAGCATGTTTCTGGACAGTTACTCTTCAATTACACTGTCTATTCAACTGGTCTCTCTCTACAGCGTAAGCCTGGCAATGAGCTCATTATTTCAATTACATCAAACACTGCATGCCAACTTTTACTCTCAACACCAACACTTACATAACTACAACAAATATGGTCACTAAAGTCATGCCCAGAAATACAGTGGTATGCTTATGCTGTCAGTGCAGGCTTAAAGCACTTAGTAAGAACTAGCAGAGAGTGCTGCCAATAGCAGAATGGCAAATTCTGAGCATCACATGATTGCATGATTTAAAGGTATAAAAGGTTGTAAGAGGCATGATGGCATATTCTACACTTTAACAGTTTTTATAGCCAGTCATGGAGTAAAAATAAAAAAAAAATTGAAGCCTGCTCACTAGGCTCCTAGAGCCTAGATGGAGAGCTGGATTGGAGAGAGGAGGG